TAGCTTCCTGCCAAACTTCAGTAAGTCAAAGAATAAACTCAAACAAGAGATAGTTGGTCAGCAGAGAACTTCATCATCTCTTCGCTAAATTAACATCAAAAACAATCTAAAAGTAGTACCCTAAAGACAGTCCTCTTGTAAAAGAATGAACTATTCAGAAGCTGACTGATGCATTTTATTAAGCTAAGAAATCATCTGAAAGGTAAAAATTCAGAAACTGAATTTCTATAACTACGTCTCCAAAACATGGAGGATCTTCATATATTTTCTTCATTTGTTCCCACAAATCCTACAATTTAGAGAGAACTGTAAAAATTTCCATTAGGAAAAAAAAAATGTGTACTTATTACCAATATTACTTAACATAAAATCCTGAAGTGTGAGAAGGCTGGCTGACTTGCCTCCTGGTTCCTGATAAGGACACCTAATCAATCCCGACTTCAACCACAGAACTATGCAAATAAATGAAAGTATGAAAAATATCCATAGCTATATGATACCTTTAGTAACATTAACTGCATAAGTGTCAAAATACAGGACCATAAACCATGAGAATATAGAAGTGAACCTCCAAAATTAATGATCCCATAAATTCATAGATTTATTCCTGAAAAACATTAAGCTAAACTCAAACTGTGATACAATCTTTAGCAGCAATTGTCACACTAGTCATGTTTTCACACCTAAGCTGGAAAGAACTAGGTGAAGAGTTGTGCTTCTAACTCTGGAAAAGAAAGTGGGTATCTTCTGAGAAATAAAATTTCTTTCTTGTCAGAATTTTTTTTATTTATATTAAAAAAATGATTAACATTAGATTTTAAAATTTTGGTATACTGAGTAAAATGTTTAAAATACAGTAGCAAATGTACTTCTTCAACTTTTATTTCCTTAAGTGATTTCTGAAAGTGCTAAAGGAGGAACAGTAACTGCAGAATTAATTTTTAACTGAGAACACACAGTACGATACATTTCCAAACACAAGTCCAAGACATCTCACTGCCACCACTTCCCCCAGAAGAGAAAGATTAGGGAAGTCTCTGCTGCTGCATACTTCCTCTTTCTGACTCTCCATGTAGCGGTTAGATCCAGCCCTGGGTCCCAGCGCGTCTCCCAGAATCAGCAATGAAGAAGACATAACAGTAACATTCATCTATTCCTACAAATCAGAGACTAGAAACTTACTTTGCTTCCTAGAGAGGAAAACCAGACCTAAGAGAGGAACAAGCCTGAAAGTCAACTTCCAAGGGTGCAAACACCTGGCTTCTGCACCCTAGCCCCAAGGGAAAGAACTAAAGGAATACATTGAAATTTTTCTAAAATTAGAAAGTTTGAACTTTCAATATATTGCTAATAGTTTTATATAACATTTAGCATATTTTAAAACTGTAAGTAACAGATTTCTCATTAATTCTCCTATCGGGTACAAAAAGAATCAGCAAACTGTTTACAGTTAATTCTCTGGGAATTCACTATTGAGTCTATCAATATAGTACACAGGATAGCTATTGAATACATTTTTTCTTAAATTCTTGGATAAGAGTCCTAAGGGAGAATATTTCTAAATACTCTAAGAGGAAATTAAGATTACCACATGGTCAAAGGAGATCAGAAGTATACTACAGTCATTTAAAAAGTTGGGAACCAGCAGTTAGCATAATGGCTATGTCGCTGGACTCCCACGTAGTCAACCACGGTTCGCGTCCCGGACCCGGTGACTTAAAACTCACGCCGGGCGCGTGTGCGTGCGTGCCCAAGATCCCAAGAGCAGAATGGAAGAGAAGGGACTGCGGCGTGACCATCCCCCCTGGGGAGTGATTTCTCGCTTTCTGTCTCTCTGTCTCTCTCTGTCTGTCTGGCGAGCGCACGCGCCCTATAGCGAAAACCTCTCAAAAGAAAAAAAAAAAAAGTTTATGAAGGGGCTGGCGGGTGGCATGGTGGTTGGGGCACTGGACTCCCACATGACCGCCTATGGTTTGAGTCCCAGACCTGGTGGCTAGCTTTCTCACTTTCCCTTTCTCTCTCTCTGTCTGTCTCTGGTCAAATTAGAATAATTTTAATATTAAAAATTAAATAATTCTTTTTAAAAAAATTCATGGAAGTATCAATGAAATTTCAGAATCTCAGAGACAAGTTTTCCCTAAGGAACACACAGGAGAGTCAAGTCATAAAGAAATTGATAAATTTGACAAAAAATAAAATTCTCACAGGCAAAAATTGCCATGAATAAACTCAAAAGACACATGAAATATACCTGCAAAACATCTGACAAAAGGTTAATTTTTGTAGTTTTTAAAGGGCCCTTTAGGATCCAGCCAGTGGTGTGGTTATGGCACGGGTTCCTACATGGCTGGCTGTGCGGTCCAAGTCCTAGACCTGGTGTCTTGAAAAGAAAACCCTGAGAGGAGAATGGAAGACAGGGGATTACAGCATGGCCATCCCCCAAAGGGGAGTGATTTCTCACTTTCTCTCTCTGTTGTTCGTCTGTCTCTGGTGAGCGCACATGCCTTATGGCAAAAACCTGAAAAAATACAATTAAAAAAGAACTCTTTAAATTAAAATTTTAAAACAAGATAGACTCAACAGAACAGTGGGGAAAATGACATGGACAGGCAAAGTCCCAGAAAAAGAAATACAAACATCTTTTAAAGAAACCTCCTATTAGTGGAGTTTTCAAATCCATATCAAGTAGGAGAGTGGATGGATGCCCATGTACACACCACCCCGCTTCAGCAACTATCAACACGGAGCCAATCTGTTTCATTTGTTTGTCCCAAGCATGGCTCTCTCCCAAGATTATTTTAAAGCAAACCCCAGATACCATCGTTTCATATACAAATATAAGAGGGGGCTCGTCAGCCACATAGCTGACAGTAGGTTCAATCCCCACTTGAAATACACCAAGATTTTGAGGAGCTGGAGGACTGAGGAAAGGAGATTGCAGAGTGACAATCTCCTATCAAAAGTGCTCTTGTGTCTCCTGCATGTGTACAAACATGTATACTATCATGAGTAAAAAACTAAAATTAAAAAAATCTTTAGTTCCTAATGATGTTAATCTAAATATTTAATTGTTTTTTTTTTTGTCTTTAAGTTTTTAAAAATTTTGTAAGACATGTACATGTTTCCAAAGCCCAGACAATACAAGGTGCATTAGAGAAGCCTGGCTTCTATCCTTCTCCCCTTCTTGTCCGTCCCCCCTTCAATGGCATTCACTAGTTTTTGGTTTATCCTGTTTTCTCTGTTCAAATAATAAATAAAATATATTTATCCATAGCCTCTACTACTTAGATAATAAACAGAATATTATATACATATATACTTTGTTCTTCATCCTTTCCTTCACTAAAAACATATACTAGAAACCAATAGCAAATAGGCTTAGCTTCATTCACTAATAAAATGCAAATTAAAATTACAATGAGACTTAATTTACAATTTAAATGGTATTTTTTTAGCTATCTGATTAGCTAAATTCAAAGAGTTACAAAATGCACTGGGTTGGTAAGAGTATGAAGGAAAGGCACATCCAATTTGGCATTATCTATCAAAATTTTAAATGCACACCCCCTTTGGCTCACCAAGTCCACTTCTAGCAATTTACCCTATAGATAGATTCCCATCCTGTCAAATGAACAGAGATAAATATCTCAGAATTGAGAATACTGCAGAAGTGTATACAATTGCAGAAGTCTAGAAACATCTTTAATTTACATCAAGAGGAGTTACTAAATGAATGACAGCATACTCACAGAACACAATATAACACAAAAAATTTTTAATGTGGTATGTCTACATACATGGATATCTCAGAATAGACTCTAAGATACATTGTCAAGAGAAAAAAAAAGGCAAGAATGATGTGCTACAACTTAAAATAAAAAGATCTATTACACATTTGCTGTATATGCTAGAATATGTATGATTGGCAGCCCCTGGAGTTAGACAACAAGGTAGCCCTATGTCCCTATACATAGCATATTACTAGGAGACCATAATCAATCAACAGTAAAAGATGCCTTAGGAATGGCTTACTGCTCATTCTTTACTCTTTTGTATTGTTTAAATTTATTACTGGGTATATGGTTAATTTTTCAATGAAGATTTTTAAAACAGGACCAGCAGATGGCATACCAGCTACATCACTGGACTCCCACATGGCCAACTGGTGTGGACTCGGTGGCTGGAAACTCACACCGGGTACATGTGAGTGTGTGCCCAAGATTCCAGGAAGGGAACAGAGAAGGGACTGCAACGTGGTCATTCCGCCTGGAGGGATTTCTCACTTTCCTCTTCACTGTCTGTCTCTCTCTTTCTGGTGAGCACACACAACCTAAGGCAAAAACCTCAAAAAAATCAAATCAAATAAAAAAGATTTTAAAGGTTTCTTCATGAATAACAAAAAGAACTTTATTAAATAAAATACCAAGTGACTTCCAACATTGTTAGTATGAAACTTGCCAGCGCTTCTCTACAACAGGATCGGCACAAGTCAGACCTACCTGTTGACTCAGGTCGACAGCATGAGTAGAAAAACAGCCCTCTAACCTGTATTTGCAGATGGGATCACACCTTTACGTCCTGATGGGAAAGACTAGGTCAGTCTTTAAAGAATAATCATCTCTGAAAGGCTAACACTGAACATGAATATTGACATGAAGTTCTTGCATTAATATGATCATTTATTTTTATTCAATTAATCCTAAATGAATAAAAATATGAATAACTGAATCTACATCAGGAAGAATCAATTAACCATTAATTATAACTTACAGCCTTTACATATGAATGAATATATTACAATTAATACCATCACTATTAAGTGGGCTCTATGTTGGATAATTCAAATGAATTATCTCTAAATCTTACAATAATCATAAATCATAGGTATTATTATACTGACTGTACATATAAGAAATGGAGAAAAAGGAACATTAAATAGTATAGCCATAAACACAAATGCCACAAAAACAGTGTAAAAGACAAAAGAGAAACATACTAACGTGTTATTCTAACTAGGTATCCCACAGCCTGACTCTTAAATAAAAGCAGGACTCGCTGTCGTAGCACATGCTGGATGCTGCTGCATGGCGGGCTGAGGACACACCGGAGACCCAGGTTCCATTACTGGCCCATCTTAAAGAGCTAGGCACAGTAGAGCATGTCTGCAGGCCTAAGCAGGTACTCAGGAGGCTGAAGCAACAGGACACAACACGGAGAAACTGTTTAAAACAACACACACACACACACACACACACACACACACACACACTCTCTCTCCCACATATACTCACACCTACCACATAAAAAAAAGTAGGCTGACTTTCAAAGATCAAAAGTACAAAAGAGGTAATGCAATAAACCACTGATATAAATAAGGGTCTTCAGAAATAAATTTTTACTTGTTTTGATATAATATATTGACACAAGTTCAGTTGAAAAAACCTGATGTGATAAACCAATGCAGAATATACGGAGGGAGAGTTAAGAAAATAATACATGTATAAAAATAGGGCACGTTGTCTTCTAGGTTCCAGTGCAAAATTCTAAAGATTCTGCAGTCAGTTTCTTCTGCAATCTGAACATATGAATGATGGCATCTGTGGTGATTTCTTACTAACTAGCCCAAACAAAACCTACTCAAGAATCTAATCCTAACACTGAGCAGTGTTAGAGAACTAGATCACATACATCCTGAACGCATTTAGCACGTATGGCACACCCTTTAGATGTACATGTCAGTCTCTTTGGACATATTCTATATCTGTCTTACTTCGGTATACTTTCAGTCTAACATACTACCACTTGATGAAAAATCAAGAAATATTTCCGAAGAGTGAGCTAAATTAATGTCACAGTCCAGAGTCCATCTACTAAAACTAAAGATATACATACACTGTGACCAGCAATTCCATTCCTAGACATATACCCAACTAAAATGGATATATTTGGATTCTAGAAATATGTACAAGAATGATTACAATAGCATTATTCATAACTGGTTCAGAGTAGAAACTATTAAAATATCCACCTGCAATAGAATGGATAAATAAATCTTAGTATATAATCTGTGGTGGTTTAAAGCCTGAGCACAAATTCTTTGATAGACCTTCCCTAAGGACATGACATCTATGTTCCCCTCCTTGAGTCCAGGCAGGGTATGTCTATTTCACCCAACAGAGGAGGTGGAAGTAATGTTATGTGACTTTTCTGAGGATAAATCACTTTCTAGAACCTTGTTCTGGGACCTCAGCCAACTGCTGAAAAGCCAAAGCTTTATGACTCCTCATACAGGTTGCTCTGGTCAACAGTCTGAGAAAATTCTGGTCTCTTAGTCACCCAGTCAAGGTAACAGACATGTCAGTGAGAGAGTCTCTAAATGATTCTAGACCCCGATCATTGTGAATCAGTGACAAGACACCCTCATCACATTCCTAACCCAAAGAATCCATAAGCATAATAAAATGGATATTGTTTTAAACCACTAAATATGGAGTGATATATTATGCAATAATCAGTAACCAAAACTACTATGCTACGTAGCAACAGATAACCACAACTAGAGAGCTATAAAAACTACAAACTTCTGCGACAACATGGGCAAATCTTGGACATAATGTTGAATAAAAGAAGCCTAGAGAAAAGGTAGTGCATAGGGCACTACTGTTGTTTTTGTTTTTGTTTTTGAGGTTTTGCTATAGGGCATGTGCGCTTGCCAGAGAGACAGAGAGGTAGAAAGCGAGAAATCACCCCCTGGGGAGATGGCCATGCCGCAATCCCTTCTCTTCCATTCTTATCCTCCATTCTTCTCCTCCATTCTCCTCACGGGATCTTGGGCACGCACACACACACACCCGGCGTGAGTTTTAAGCCACCGAGTCCGGACGCGAACCACAGTCGCCTGCCTACATGGGAGTCCAGTGACATAGCCATTACGCTAACTGCCGGTCCCCTAGGGCACTATTCTCTTTACATGAGCTCAACACCAGACAAAGCTAATCTACAGTTACAAAGTCAGAACAGTCGCTACATTGGGTGGGAGTAATTTCCACCAAAGGCCACGTTTAGAGGCTTCTAGAATGCTAGAATATAGATTAGTCACCACCTTGATCTGGGTGGTTATTACTTTTCAGTGATCATTTGGTTTAAAAAAATTATTGAGCTAGATTAAAATATAATAAAAAAACATTTTAACAAAAAAAATTTTAATCAGAACAATTTAATGACTCAATAGATGGTAAGGGTAAGACGGAGAATTAAAGGATGACTCCAAGTCTTCTTATTTATCTTACAACTACTTTCACTTGAATGATCAAGTATTTCCATTAAGTGAACATTAAACCATGGGCAGGGTGGGGGGACAGGAACAGAAGGTAGCAACCATGTCCACATTTTGTATCCAACTATCTCCTGCAGTATTTAACACAGACACTTCAGCTTCTAAGACACTCCTCTCATTTTAACCCCCTTCAAACCAAACCCTCTTGCTTTCCTCCGTTGCCTCCTTTCTGCCCAGCGCCTCCTAATACTAGGACTCCCCCAGGCAACCATCCTCAATCCTCTTTCCAGTTATGTGCACACGTGCACACACATATACATGTTCTCCTGTATTCCCAGTCTCAGTTGATGACATCATCACATTCTTTTTCTTTAAGCTAGAAAATTTTCAGTTCAAGCAAGAATTCAGATTCCAAAATATCCTGAAAAGTTGCAGTTAGATAAATCCAATAAAAATAAACTTAACAGGATAAACTTAGGCTCCCCTGGTTAGACCCCAAAACTAACACTTAAGAATAAGACAAAGAAGATATGAGATAGATCTCCAAGTTTTTTTGAACTCTAGGTTCATATTTATCTATGATGTGATCACCAAAAGGATAAAGCTAATAGTAACCAAAACTTAGTACATACAAAAAGGTAATATTCTTCCCCATATTAACAGAAGGAAGTGCTGCAACTAGAACAAGAGATACAACTATTTTTCACTTATCAAGCCAGGCCTGGGGTACTGCACTCAATTCTAAGCATTAGAGTTTAAAAATGGAGTTTAAAAAAAAAAAAGGAAAGCCACCCATTTGGTGAAGTGACATGAAACCATGCCATGTAAGGAATAGCTAATGAACTGGAGGTGTTTCAACTCAAAAAGACTGAAAATACTTGATAACTGCCTTCATGTATCTTCATGAAAGATTGTCCTATAAATACCCAGAATTGAGGCAGAGTAAGAAAGTGTACTTCCACTCAATATATGAAAGAACTTTCTAACAGTCAAAACTCTAATAAAATCAGGAGAGGCTGTCTCAGGGGCAGTGTCTCACAACTGAGGATGATTCTGTCCCCCTGGGCAGGGATGTTGCTAAACAGTCAACAATGTAGAGGACCTCTCACAACAAAGAATGACCCATCTAAAATGTCACTAGCCCCATGACTGAGAAACTGCCCTAAAAATAGTGAGTTCTCTGTCACTGGAGAGATTCTATTATAGACCAGACAACGTGATAATGACCAATCAATGTGGGAACTAAGCTGAAAAAAAATAATTCTTTCAGGTGACTCTCCAGAGAACCGTACCTTCAGATTTAAAGTGATGATGATGGTAATGGCGACAAACATTTACTGAGCACTTACAGCGGGCCAGACATTACACCAAGTGATTCATGTACACGTTTCATGCTTACTTCTCACAACAACCTCATGAGATAGGTATTACTTCACCCTGATTTGATGTTAAATAGGTTGCCCAAATGATACAGCACTGGATATCTGAACTCAGATCTACCTGACTCCAATTATATACGTCACTGTCCAAAACATAAACATTAAATGACTTTCAAAGGTTTCATACTCTAGAAAACAGATGAAGAAGCACAAATCCCAGAAGTACTAGGACAATGTCAAAACAGGTTGGTACTCACTGCAAACCTAGCTGACTGGGAGAAATAGAAAAGGATTATTTAAAGTAGTCCTGTGATGAAGGAGAGAACAATTATCCTGATTGTTCCCAATTGCCTACTTCCATAAGAGCCAAGAAGCTCTTATATACCCATGGAATCTCAGTCAGAAGCTGGGATTAATGATGACATCCCTTTATCCACAGGCGTGAAAGCTCAGGATGGACAGACGTTTGAACATCCCCGACTGGGAATCCTGCCCTTAACAAACACACTAGATGCAGATACATGGTTTCTTGGCTGCCTGCACTCGCGCCCATCTGTCAGGATGGCAGTGTGCCTGCTCACATGTTGGTCAAACTGTCACTAGGGCATAGGTGCCAAGCAATGATAGTTTTAAATGGGCAGCTTGCATAGCACTGTAAGAGCTTGCTCTTCTGCAGAAAAAGAAAGAATTCTCTGTGATTATACTGAAAGGCTGCAATCACAAGTGAAATATTCTTGATCAATCTCAACATTTCACTGGGAAAAAGATGCAGACTAGTTGAAAAGAATCAGACTAAAGAAGTTAAATCAAACAGAACAGGTACTTTAAAGATAAGGAAGTCACTGTAATAAAGCTCTCCACACTGCCAATCTTGCATTATACAAGTCCTGGTAACCTCTTATGCAGTAAAATCCTTTGCTCAACAAGTCATTACCCATCTTTTTAAATGGGGGGTATGTTTTTTCTGTTCTAAATAAGAGTAGAAATGCATTAATTTCTAGTAGTTTGCCTGACATTATGTAAGTTCTATATGTTGGCTGGTTATTTTTACCCATCGATACACAAGGTCATCTTTTTTTTTTTAAGAGAGATTCTTAGATAGGGCGTACATGCTCACCAAGAAACACAGACAGACAGACAAGCGAGAAACCATCCCCCAGGAGGGATGGCCAAACCACCACCCACCCCCCCGGAGGGATAGCCATGATGCAACACCTTTTCCTCCATTCTCCTCTCAGGATTTTGAGCACACACACACACACACCCACCCTGCATGAGTTTTAAGCAGCCAGGTCCAGGACTTGACCCGTGGTCAACTACATGGGAGTCCAGCAATGTGACCATTATGCCATCTACTGGACCAAAGACCATTTTTTAAATATACAAA